TCCTGAAGACTTTGCGTTCATGATCTTCACAGATCTTAAGTGCAGGCTGAGAAACATTAGGGGGGAGGGAGGGGGAGGGTGTTGATGGCTGTGGGGTGTCAGACCAGGCTTTTGCTTTTCAAACCTGCAGTAGAACTCGTTCAGATCATCTGCCAGTTGTTGATTGGCCTCAGTGCTGGGGTCTGTAGCTGGTGATGGCTTTTGGGCCATCTTCTGTTATGTATCTTGAAACTGATTTTTAACACAGTGTTGCATTAATAATAAAGTATGTATAATTGCATTTTCATAACTAATTTTGATTGTCTCCTTGTTATCAGTACTTATCAGTACTTGTTATCAGCCAAATTAAATTTTGAACAAACAGGGTAAGGTTTAATGGTAGAGACTCACATGATGTAATAACTTACAATTGTGCAAATTATGTGTGCAAATCAATGGTAGACAAAAACTGAACATATAATCAAGTCTAAGTAAATAATATACGTTTTTATACCGTAAACAAGAACGAGGTTGGAGGCAGCGATGCCGGCGGTACTCAACTTTTTGCGTCAGGTAGTATGGATCAGTTTTAATTGTTAATCAATGACAAGTTATATAAGTTATGTTTCTAAAAATTTAGCTGAGATTATCTCGGTACCGTATCTACTTGATTTACTTCTGTTTCTCCAGTATGACAATTTAATCGGTCTTTACTGTATGGCTCTGTACACTTTTCAGTTCACTGCTCAATGCAACGATGCCTTCAAAATGGCGCCTTTGGTGACATCACACATAATAACGCACGTGACTGACAAAGGCCGATTGCACCAAATTAATTAGAAAGGAAACAGTAGGTATATGTACATACAGGCTACTGGACGCACAACAAAGAATGAACTGTGCTGATAAACAAAAACAACAACAACAAAAGACCTGCACAAAACTTGAATTATTGCCTGGTATTTCCAGGGTTCCACAGTCAGTAAACGTATCTAGATATTACAACATCAAAGGGATGATGACATGAGAAATCAAATTTGCCTTGGATCTCTTGGCATATAAGAGGTCTTTGTACTATTAAAACATCCTGCAAGTTTCATAGCTTAAGTCAAGTCAAGCCACCTTTATTTATATAGCGCTTTTAACAATACAGATTGTGTCAAAGCAACTTTACAATATTAAATAGGAAAATAGTGTGTCAATAATGCAAAATGACAATAGTAAACACTCATTTTTCAGTTAAAGGCAGTTCATCATTGAATTCAGTGATGTCATCATCCAGCTCAGTTCAGTTTAAATAGTCTCTGTGCAATCAAGTCGACGATATCGCTGAAAATGAAGTGTCCCCAACTAAGCAAGCCAGAGGCGACAGCAGCAAGGAACCAAAACTCCATCGGTGACAGAATGGAGAAAAAACCTTGGGAGAAACCAGGCTCAGTCGGGGGGCCAGTTCTCCTCTGGCCAGACAAAACCAGCAGTTCAATTCCAGGCTGCAGCAAAGTCAGATTGTGCAGAGGACTCAACTGGTTCCTGTGGTCTTGTCCCGGTGGCTTGTCAAAACACTCAAAACATGCAATAGCGAGGGAGCGTTTATACTGTTTTCTATGCAATAATGTTAGCCAATCATAACAGTGGCTGATTCCTGAGAAGCCTTAAAGGACACGCCCCTTAAAAACAGCCTGTTTCTGAGAGAGGTTCAGCATAAGGGCTGAAAATTATAATTTTTTGTGTGCCATTAATTATGCACTGTGCAAATAATTAACATTATAAGTAAACCTCAAAGAACATATTAAAATAATAAAGAAATCCATGTCATGACCCCTGTAAATTGAAATCGACTAAAATACTCCTAAAATCAATTGGATCAAGTCATTTTGTTCAGTTTGTCAATTTATTAATAAACTTCCAGTTACATTGTTGCTTTTCCAGCAAGGTAAAGGTTAGACTAATATTTTGATTCAGAGGAATCAACACATGAAATTGAGAGACATGCTCTACATCAGGGGTACTCAAGTTCAGAGGCCAAGAGGGCCACATTTAAACATAAAATGTGAAGGGCCACAAATTACAATTTGCATCATAAGACTTTAAGACAATATTTGCAATATTAATGCAAAAAAAACAAAACAAGCATTCATACTCTGAGTATTAAACAAACACAGAATGTTCAAACTCAAAACATTCATGAGCAAATATAGTTCACAAATTTCTGTAGACAGAAGTATTATCTTTCCTATTTATGCCCAAATAGTGCACATTATTGAGCGCTAAACACATGTTATGTCTGTTTCATTCATACTGGGTGCCAGAGGGCGCCCTCGTGCAGAAACTCCACATATGCATCACAGTAGTAATAGAACTCATGACCCTCCAGGAAATCCCTAATATGGACAAAGGCATGCTGCTATCACTGTTACTGAATAAAAGGATAGAAACGCTTGAACTGATCAAACATGAAGACAGTGTAACAATTTATGGTTTATCTGTGCCATCTCTGGTATTTTCATAATAATAAAGTAGCCTATATTTATAATCCAATGCTAATCGACTTTATTACAGTTTAGATCTACGTGAACGCATAGACGTGATTACAGCTCCATTCATTGTAATGGGAGCGCTTTTTGCTTGCTTAAACTTTTATTCAAATTGTGAATGGGTTAGTTTATTGTTTGTTTGTTGCTACTAAGAGGACTTTCTGCCATTTACACAATGGAAAGTGTCAGGAGTACCAACTGCATTTAAGTGACAAGCATAAAGTCACTCTGCTTAATATTTGCGCTACTTTTCAGTGCAAATTTGAATAAAAATACATTCATTTTCAGCATGATGTGGGCCACAAAATTAATGCAGATGGGCCGGATACGGCCCGCGGGCTGCCTGTCAAGTACACAGGCTCTACATAGTCAACATTTGAGGGAATCTCAACAACCATTCAATATTTGAAACTACAGCAAAGCAGACGGTCAGGAATGGCCACAGGACTGCATATTAACAAAAGAAAATACAAAGCCTTATGGTAAAGCATAAAGAGATGAAGGATGCATGAAGGTGACAATCAGGTGTAGCCCACATTCAGTTGTAGTGCGAGACTTGATTTCACACAGCATTTTTTTCTCGTCATACTCTTCAACAAAGAACGCAAACAGGGTCAGTGTAAGTGTGATGGCGAAAAAAAAAGTTTTAATACACCGACTACAATTGAATGTCTTCCAAAATGATTGTAGACATTTTTCTAAACCTTGTCACGTTGAGGAAAATGGCTATTTCTTCCCAGAATGACTTTTCAAATGATGTTTCAGGTCTTTGTTATATGTGAATCTCTTCTCACACTGAAGACATGTGAATGGCTTCTCTCCCGTGTGAATCCTCATGTGAGTTTTTAAGTTTCCTTTAACCCTGAAACTCTTTCCACACTGTTCGCAGGTGAAAGGTTTCTCTCCAGTGTGAACTCTAATGTGAGACTTGAGGTTTGCTTCTCTTGAGCAACTCAATCCACAGTGATGGCACATGAGAGGCTTGTCTCCGATGTGAATTTTAACATGATCCTGAAGGTGATTCGTGTCTGTGAAACTCCTTTCACACTGATGACATTTAAAACCGTTATCTCTTAAGTGAATCTTCATGTGCCTATCAAGATTTACATTGTATATGAATCTCTTCCCACACAGTTTGCAGATGTAAGGTCTCTCTCCAGTGTGACTTCTTATGTGAGTCTTTAGGTTTCCTTTGCGCCTGAAACTCTTTCCACACTGTTGGCAGGTGAATGGCTTCTCTCCAGTGTGAATGATCATGTGGGAATTAAGGTTTTGTGTTTTTTCAGCTTTTTTTGGTGAAGAAGTCTTTTCATTCTGTGAGCAACTAATCGTTTTTTCTTCAGTTTTGAAATCATGTTTCTCGTTTTGATCTTTCTCTTCCGTTTCATTCATGTCTTGACTCTCCTGTTTCAGCGCCATCGGATCTGAGGTGAAAAGAGACAAATACAAGTTAACACCAGTTTAAAGGCATGAAGCAACAAACATCAAAACATTTAGACATGAAAAGCATCAAATCCAAGCTAGATCCTATACCTACTAAACTTCTGAAAGAGTTGTAACCTGTAATCTCAGAACTTCTTGTCGATATTGTTAATCCTTTGCTTTCTTTAGGACCTCCACTCATCTAGATATTGATGGAGGGATGTACCATTACATTGTTTTCCACAATTACATATTTGGTTGTTGCATTCACAAATTGTTTTGTTGATAATCATGGCCTTCTTTCACCTTATAAATGTTGCAGGATCAAGAAATAAGCTCTAGCTGGTTGAATAGAGCACTTACTTAGCTGCGTTTCCATTACCCTTCAAATTGCGCAAACTGAAACTGTGAATTGAAAATGCACCCAATGTAAACATGTCGATTTCGCAAAACTCCCATATATCGCCAAAAAAAACCAGTTTTTACACTCACGAGGTGTTTTTTAGGCAATTCGAAAAAGGAATATTTCACAAACCTGCAATGGAAACTGTTTTTTTTCTCTCGCATTTACAGGTCACTTGGTGTACGTAAAAGTCACATGATCATTCTTTAGGCCCAATCCCAATTCTACCCCTTAGCCCTTGCCCTTTCCCCTACCCCTCTGTTTTGCGCGTTCACGTGAAGGGGTAGGGGTGTCTCGTTTCTCTTTTGGTTGGAAGGGTAGAGGTAGGGGAAGGGCCAGATAGTCCTTCAAACGAAGATTTTTCGGGACCACACTTCAAACGAAGGGGTATGAATTATCTCAGTGTAAACCGGCTTCAGTGGCAACATGGCTGCCCGAGCGAACAAAAAGACATAAATGTATGCATTTTCGGCATTAATAAAGATTTTAACGAAAAGTAATCATTTGTATTTAAACCTATTAATAAAAGTCGGGGGGCAGCATTGAAAAGTTTCTTTTCTCCTGGATGTGTGAGCTGCGCGATCTCCGTTTTATATATATATATATATGTGTGTGTGTGTGTCAGTAAGCAGCGCAGTAATATAGAACGGTAATTAAAGGCTCTAATGTTTCAGGTCTTTGTTATATGTGAATCTCTTCTCACACTGAAGACATGTGAATGGCTTCTCTCCCGTGTGAATCCTCATGTGAGTTTTTAAGTTTCCTTTAACCCTGAAACTCTTTCCACACTGTTCGCAGGTGAAAGGTTTCTCTCCAGTGTGAACTCTAATGTGAGACTTGAGGTTTGCTTCTCTTGAGCAACTCAATCCACAGTGATGGCACATGAGAGGCTTGTCTCCGATGTGAATTTTAACATGATCCTGAAGGTGATTCGTGTCTGTGAAACTCCTTTCACACTGATGACATTTAAAACCGTTATCTCTTAAGTGAATCTTCATGTGCCTATCAAGATTTACATTGTATATGAATCTCTTCCCACACAGTTTGCAGATGTAAGGTCTCTCTCCAGTGTGACTTCTTATGTGAGTCTTTAGGTTTCCTTTGCGCCTGAAACTCTTTCCACACTGTTGGCAGGTGAATGGCTTCTCTCCAGTGTGAATGATCATGTGGGAATTAAGGTTTTGTGTTTTTTCAGCTTTTTTTGGTGAAGAAGTCTTTTCATTCTGTGAGCAACTAATCGTTTTTTCTTCAGTTTTGAAATCATGTTTCTCGTTTTGATCTTTCTCTTCCGTTTCATTCATGTCTTGACTCTCCTGTTTCAGCGCCATCGGATCTGAGGTGAAAAGAGACAAATACAAGTTAAAACCAGTTTAAAGGCATGAAGCAACAAACATCAAAACATTTAGACATGAAAAGCATCAAATCCAAGCTAGATCCTATACCTACTAAACTTCTGAAAGAGTTGTAACCTGTAATCTCAGAACTTCTTGTCGATATTGTTAATCCTTTGCTTTCTTTAGGACCTCCACTCATCTAGATATTGATGTACCATTGTACCATTACATTGTTTTCCACAATTACATATTTGGTTGTTGCATTCACAAATTGTTTTGTTGATAATCATTTCACCTTATCACCTTATAAATGTTGCAGGATCAAGAAATAAGCTCTAGCTGGTTGAATAGAGCACTTACTTAGCTGCGTTTCCATTACCCTTCAAATTGCGCAAACTGAAACTGTGAATTGAAAATGCACCCAATGTAAACATGTCGATTTCGCAAAACTCCCATATATCGCCAAAAAAAACCAGTTTTTACACTCACGAGGTGTTTTTTAGGCAATTCGAAAAAGGAATATTTCACAAACCTGCAATGGAAACTGTTTTTTTTCTCTCGCATTTACAGGTCACTTGGTGTACGTAAAAGTCACATGATCATTCTTTAGGCCCAATCCCAATTCTACCCCTTAGCCCTTGCCCTTTCCCCTACCCCTCTGTTTTGCGCGTTCACGTGAAGGGGTAGGGGTGTCTCGTTTCTCTTTTGGTTGGAAGGGTAGAGGTAGGGGAAGGGCCAGATAGTCCTTCAAACGAAGATTTTTCGGGACCACACTTCAAACGAAGGGGTATGAATTATCTCAGTGTAAACCGGCTTCAGTGGCAACATGGCTGCCCGAGCGAACAAAAAGACATAAATGTATGCATTTTCGGCATTAATAAAGATTTTAACGAAAAGTAATCATTTGTATTTAAACCTATTAATAAAAGTCGGGGGGCAGCATTGAAAAGTTTCTTTTCTCCTGGATGTGTGAGCTGCGCGATCTCCGTTTTATATATATATATATATGTGTGTGTGTGTGTCAGTAAGCAGCGCAGTAATATAGAACGGTAATTAAAGGCTCTAATGCACACCAGTATAGGTGTGTGTACTGTAGGAGCTAGATGACGTATGATGACGTGTGACGGTATAGTAGTGGTGTCCCAATTCTTAGGGGAATATTTCCACCCCTACCCCTTGACACTCTGTTTCAAGGGACAAGGGGAAGGGGTAGGCGGAGGGGTAGGAGAAGGGAAAGGGGTATAAAATAGAATTGGGATAGGGCCTTAATGTACTATATCCTCCAAGAAACACCTCAAATGTGGCCATTCTCAAAAGTATAATAACTCTTTTAAAAGTAATGCATTACAATATTGTGTTACTCCCTTAAAAAGTAACTTTACATTACTTAGTTATTTTTTATGGAATGTAATGTGTTATGTTACTTTTGCATTACTTTTCAAATCTGGGCTGGGCTGGCTTGTTTGTTTTTAATATTAAAAAAAGTTATATTTTTGGTAAATGAAAAAGCCCTTTCACATCAAAAAGTGAATTAAATAAGCCTCAGGCTGAAGGAAAAGTAAATTCACGTCTGTACAGCAGAATGCAGGAGAAGACATTTCAGAAGCTCAGAAGCAAAGACATTGGTTAATAAAATGGGAGTAAATACATAAAGGATATTTGTGTTATTTAATTATTGCAGATTTGCATCATATTCGGAGTTTGCATTTCACTGTTCTTTATTCATTTGAAGAAATACTGAATCTGTTTTTTCTGTGAAAGTGAGATGAGTAAATGCACATTCACATTTAGTCTAGAACTAACCGTACACGGGGCACACAATGAATGCCTCTGTACTTACTCCCAATTTTTCTCAACATGGGGACAGGAGAGCTGTCAGTCAGTAAATGGGAAAACAAAGTAACTGGTGTTACTTATTTGAAAAAGTAACTCCGATAGGGATGCTCCGATCGATCGGCATCGGCCGATAATCGCATTTTATGACTCGATCGGTACTCACTAACTTGGCCGATCTCATGATGCGTGTGGACATAAATGATTTGGTGTCATAGTCATGTCATCGCCGGTGTGGAAAAGTAATGCATTTCTTTACTAGTTACCTAAAAAGTCATTGATTACGTAACTCGTGTTACTTGTAATACATTACCCTCAACACGGCTGGCCACTGACTGTATTATTCACTCACCAAAGATCTTTAAATGAAGAACAAAGATAAACAGCATGCAGTGACTCTACCAAGCTGTCAGCTGGAGAAATGATTTATTTTAGAAGTTGGCTGGTATTTCTGACATAGGCCTATGACTTATTTATTGCTTGTTTTAATGAACTTTAGTGCCATTTACATTCAGGTATGTATAGTATAGCACTTTTGGGGATGAGTTGAAAAAAAAATCACTTACAGACAAAAAAATGTCAAGTTAAAAACAAGTTATTCTTAGATACTGTTTTCATTTTTTTCTACTCAGAAGCAGATATGTTTGATGTTACACAAAATAATTGTTTTGGCTAGTTCTGTAATATTTTCATATCTGTAATTCTGTAGAGCTGGACATTTTAATAAGGATTAAACGAGCGAGTTCAGCTTTGAGAATGAAAACCAACCTGTTTGTTCCTCAGTATCTTCATGTTTGTCTCTGAATGTTTCTTCAATCTTCAGGTCTTCACTCTGCTCTTTAATAAACTCCATCTTTGTTTGTTCCTCAGTATCTTCATGTTTGACTCTGAATGTTTCTTCAATCTTCACGTCTTCACTCTCCTCTTTAATAAACTCCATCTTTGTTTGTTCCTCAGTATCTTCATGTTTGTCTCTGAATGTTTCTTCAATCTTCACGTCTTCACTCTCCTCTTTAATAAACTCCATCTTTGTTTGTTCCTCAGTATCTTCATGTTTGAATGTTTCTTCAATCTTCACGTCTTCACTCTCCTCTTTAATAAACTCCATCTTTGTTTGTTCCTCAGTATCTTCATGTTTGTCTCTGAATGTTTCTTCAATCTCCATGTCTTCACTCTCCTCTTTAATAAACACCATCTTTATAATAGTGTCACGTGGATCTCAGTCGCTTCAGCTGGAGTTTTTCTGTGTGTTTGGACACTTTGTCCTGTTTAAGATGAGAATAATTAACAGAAAGAAAAATAAATCCAAATGGAACATAATTATGGTCTGTGCTTGATCTGACCCATTTCACTGCTAATGTTGCTTTATTTGAGGACTTGAGTTTTTAATATAATTTTGCTGTAGAAGGGAATATGATTCACTGATTAAAGCTGTACCTGTTCAGTTTCTTCAATTAGCCAAATAAAATGACCAATATCCCTTTACGGCTGTAGTAAACTCAGAAGTGAAGATCAGAGACTGAGTGACTCTTCATCAGGTTCTTGATTGAGATGCTACTGTGTGTCACGCTGCAGTCATCAAGACTGACTAAAGCACTGAATCACTGTAGTTTATACTGATTTCAGGAGGCTGTTCTTACAGCTGAAGACAAAGCACTCAGATCATGAGCTTAAACACAGTATGCAAAGCATGTGAGCAGTTCTACTCAGCTCTAAAACAATCAGCAGAACTATAGCACTCATTATCAGAGAGATCAGGGAAAGTCCAGATACATTCACACTTAATTCACATACTGATTAGCATGAGCAATGACAGCAATTAAAGAAATGAGGCAGTAGCATCAAAAGACTTCTTTTACTTCTGTATTCACACACCAACAGCAAAAGAGATTCATTTAGAATTTAAACATCATTAATCTTTCTGCTGACTTCTTAGGCTGATTTAATTTTAACCAATATAATAGTCTTTTGCAGTAAGTACACTGAACAAAATTATAAACGCAACACTTTTGTTTTTGCCCCCATTTGTCATGAGCTGAACTCAAAGATCTAAGACTTTTTCTATGTACACAAAAGGCCTATTTCTCTCAAATATTGTTCACAAATCTGTCTAAATCTGTGTTAGTGAGCACTTCTCCTTTGCCGAGATAATCCATCCACCTCACAGGTGTGGCATATCAAGATGCTGATTAGACAGCATGATTATTGCACAGGTGTGCCTGACAGCAATAAATAATAAATGTCCAATCATAAAACAAAATTGACATGGAGGATTTTGAATGAATTAGCAAATTCATTGATGTGTCTGTGTTAGAAAGTAAACATGATTTGGAAGCATTTTGGAGAATATAAATAGTGATTATTCGGGAAACTTCGCATTAATTAATTACAATTCTTTCTACATATAAAGCCAAATGTATCAAGAACCGACTTTTTTTTTTTTTTTTTAAACGTTGAACTGAACTGGGGGTGAATATTCGTTTATAAATATGAATCAAGCATAATAATTGAGTCATTGAGATAATTTTAAATTCTTAATTTAATTGGCTTCGTCCACGGTGAAAGCCGATCCGGTGATCCATAGCGCAAAGTTGTAGTATTTCCTCAGCGACCAGCACGGATCAGCTCCAGGCATGACGAAGCAGATATCGTCCTCTTTTGGAAGACCAAACAAAGTAGTTTCGCTTTCACAACAAAACACACAGCATTTCCACAACATGGCAGCGGCGGCAATAACAATACTACAGCGAGAATAAAAATTACGCCTTCTTTCTTTGCGTGAACATTTGGGCGGCGTTATGCAAATCTTCCCACATAGTGACGTAGACATGTGGGGGCGTGTTAGAACGAGCCGTTTTAGGTAGGCGTGGCGGACTCTTAACTTTTATAAAGAATATCTCTTTGGATTTGAGACTTTAGTCTTTGCAACTTTACAGATCTTCTTTATGCACCAAGAGCTTGTAACACTCCAAAGAGAAAGGAACAATTGAAATCGCATCATATGACCCCTTTAATTGATGGTCA